AGAAACACACACAGAAACACACACACACACACCACACACACACACAGAAACACACACACACACACCCAGAAACACACTCACACACTCAGAAAACACACACACACACACACACACACCCAGAAACACACACACACACACACAGAAACACACTCACACACCCAGAAACACACACACACACCCAGAAACACACTCACACACCCAGAAACACACTCACACACCCAGAAACACGCACACACACACACACACACACACAACAGCGACAGGCTCCCACCTCGCTAATATTCCTGGCATTGGGTTCACACATACATACACACACACTATCTCACACACACACACACACACACACACACACACACACACACACCTCTCTCACACAGAGGGCGGTAGGCTCCCACCTCCTGATTGAGAGGTCACTCCAATGCAGATCAGGGCAGACTGGGAGTAGGTGGTTGTGTAAAAGGACCATAGGAATTCTGGGAGCTCGGGGGTGTTGTGTGTGTGTGTGTGTGTGTGTGTTGGACTACATACCTAGGCGGTCAGATCGCCACTGGGCTTATTTCATTAGTATCTATAAGCTGCTTTGGACTTCTTGACTCCAGACTAGAATGGTTCTCAGGCGGGACTTGGGTTCTTGATCAGCCTCAAAAAGTGGCTTTTAAAGGCACAGTCCTTAATTCCTGTTTTCAGCCAAACAGCAGGCCCACCATTTGGTTTGCTATAGAGCTGAGAAAGGTAGTGAGACATGATGGCGAGAAGTAGGCAGTAGATTAAACAGCAACCACATATCACCACCATTGCAAGTAAAAACCTCCTTTCAAATAGCCGCTATCAGTAGAACCAGTGCTAGTAGGAACCACAACCAAAAGGAGACATTATTATTCAGTTGTCATCCCATGCTAGTAGCTGTTTTAAAGAAACCTTTTGATCCTCTGTGTTTCGCTTCATGTTGTCTGATTTGTAGTCATGGGAAGTCACTAAACAGGGCTATCGGTCTCTCTACACACACACACACACACACACACACACACACACACACACACACTTTTACACAAACACTCTATTTATTGAACTCTATTGGACTCAACCAGGGGAATAAATGTAATATATCATCTCCCTGTGTCCTACACGGCATATGGTTTTGTGATAGAACAGTAGCGTTTACTGACTATCTCTTTTCAACAGTTCAGTTCAGACAAACGGATCAAATCAAATCAAATTTTATTTGTCACATACACGTGTTTTGCAGATGTTATTGCGGGTGTAGCGAAATGCTTGTGCTTCTAGCTCCGACAGTGCAGTAATATCTAACAAGTAATATCTAACAATTTCACAACATATACCCAATACACACAAATCTAGTAAGGAATAGAATTTAAGAATATATACATATATGGACAAGCAATGACAGAGCGGCATGGACTAATATACAGTAGAATATTATAGATTACAGTATATACATATGAGATGAGTAATGCAAGATATGTAAACATTATTAAAGTGACCTAGTGTTCCATTTTTAAGTGGCCAGTGATTTCAATAGGCAGCAGCAGCCTCTAATGTGCTAGTGATGGCTATTTAACATTCTGATGGCCTTGAGATAGGTGTTTTTCATTCTCTCTGTCCCAGCTTTGATGCACCTGTACTGACCTCGCCTTCTGGATGATAGTGGGGTGAACAGGCAGTGGCTCGGGGGGTTGATGTCCTTGATGATCTTTTTGGCCTTCCTGTGACATCGGGTGCTGTAGGTGTCCTGGAGGGCGGGTAGTTTGCCCCAGGTAATGCGTTCGGCAGACCGCACCACCCTCTGGAGAGCCCTGCGGTTGCGGGCGGTGCAGTTGCCGTACCAGGCGGTGATACAGCCCGACAGGATGCTCTCAATTGTACATCTGTAAAAGTTTGTGAGGGTTTTAGGTGCCAAGCCAAATTTCTTCAGCCTCCTGAGGTTGTAGAGGCGCTGCTGCACCTTATTTACCACACTGTCTGCGTGGGTGGACCATTTCAGTTTGTCAGTGATGTGTACGCAGAGGAACTTGAAGCTTTTCACCTTCTCCACTGCGGTCCCGTTGATGTGGATAAGGGGGTGCACCCTCTGCTGTTTCCTGAAGTCCACAATCATCTCCTTTGTTTTGTTGACGTTGAGTCAGAGGTTATTACCCTGGCACCACACTCCCAGAGCCCTCACCTCCTCCATGTAGGCTGTCTCGTCATTGTTGGTAATCAAGCCTACTACTGTTGTGTCGTCTACAAACTTGATGATTGAGTTGGAGGCGTGCTTGACCACGCAGTCATGGGTGAACAGGGAGTACAGGAGGGGGCTGAGCACGCACACATGGTTCGCGGTTTTTAGGCCGGTTGGACGTACTGCTAAATTCTCTAAAACTATGTTGGAGGCAACTTATGGTAGAAAAATGAACATTCAATTATCTGGCAACAGCTCGGGTGGACCTTCCTGCAGTCTGCATTCCAATTGCACACTCCCTCAAAACTTGAGACATCTGTGGCATTGTGTTGTGTGACAAAACTGCACATTGTAGAGAGGCCTTTTATTGTCCCTAGCACAAGGTGCACCATTGTCATGATCATGCTGTTTAATCAACTTCTTGATATGCCACACCTCTCATGTGGATGGATTATCTTGGCAAAGGAGAAATGCTCACTAACCACGTGTAACCAAGCCAGCCCAGGGCCTCCACATCCGGCTTCTTCACCTGCAGGATCGTCTGAGACCAGCCACCTGGACAGCTGATGAAACTGTGGGTTTCCACAAACCGTCTCAGGGAAGCTCATCTGTGTGCTCGTCGTCCTCACCAGGGTCTTGACCTGACCGCAGTTCGGTGTCGTAACCGACTTCAGTGGGTTTATGCTCACCTTCGATGGCCATTGGCATGTGCTCTTCACGGATGAATCCCGGGTTTCAACTGTACCGGGCAGATAGCGATCCAGAGGCCAATTGTCGTGCCATGGCTCAAGGATCTCTCTCTCTCCCTCTCTCTCGCCGTCTTTGTGCTGGCCGGTCCTGCAGTCGCTGGCTCCCGTCGTGTCTCTCTGACTCAAGTTTCAGCCAGTGACTCTCGGCTGGTGGGCTCCATCTCTCTCTCTCTCTCTCTCTCTCTCTCTCTCTCTCTCTCTTTCTCTCTCTCTCTCTCTGTCGCTCTGTCTCTCTGTCTCTCGGCTGGTGGGCTGGCTCTGTCTTGGCCTCTCAGAAGCCATTGGTGCTGGGATCTAAATTGGTCTTAGGCACGCGGGGTGATCTCACTCTCCTGCTGCTGCAGACAGACGTGATGACCTGCGTCCCAAATGGCACCCTATTGCATTTATAGTGCACTACTTTTGACTAGAACCATATGGTCCTGGTCAAAATTAGTGCACTATAAAGGGAATATAGTGCCATTTGGGACTTAACCATGCTCTTTCCTCTCAGCCATGGGAATATGGCATAAGCACTGCTACACGGCGAGAGAGGGAGAGAGAAGGGGAAATGGCAAGTAGACAAGCAGTGGGGAGGGAGAGCGGGATGTGTGGGTGGGTGGTTGGGTGGGAGGGAGGGAGGGAGAAGGATACTGTTGATGTCAAAGGGGAAGTGGCAAGGAGCCAAGCATCAGGCTGGCAGCCCCATGCGGATGCAGATACCATGCATCTTTTTCTCGCTCGATCTCTCTCTCCCCCGTTCTATCTCTCTCTCTCTCTCTCTCTCTCTCCTCGCATCTCCTCTCTCCTCTCTCTCGCTCTCTCTCCTCTCCCTCTCTCTCTCTCTCTCTCCTCATCCTCTCTCACTCTCTCTCCTCGCTCTCTCTCCCCTCATCCTCTCTCTTCTCTCTCTCTCTCCCTCTTCTCTGCGTCTCTCTCATCTCTCTCTCCTCTCTCCTCTCTCTCTGCTCCTCTCTCTCTCTCGCTCTCTCTCTCAGTCTCTCCCGTCTCGGGTCTCCTCCCTCACTCTCTCCCTCTCTTCTCTCTCCTCTCTCTCTCTCTCTGTGGAGTCCTGAAGTAGAGATGTTCTGTCTCCCTCTCTCCGTGGAGTCCTGAAGTAGAGATGTCCTCTCTCTCTCCCCCATTCTCTCTCCCTCCCTCTCTCTCTCTGTGGAGTCCTGAAGTAGAGCTGTCCTCTCTCTCTCCCCCGTTCTAATCTCTCCTCACCTCATCCTCTGTTTGGAGTCCTGAAGCATAGACTGTCCTCTCTCTCTCGTCCCCTGTTCTATCTCCTCCCTCCCGCTCTCTGTGGAGTCCTGAAGCAGAGATGTCCTCTCTCTCTCCCACGTTCTATCTCTCCCTCCCTCTCTCTGTGGAGTCCTGAAGCAGAGATGTCCTCTCTCTCTCTCCCCCGTTCTATCTCTCCCTCCCTCTCTCTGTGGAGTCCTGAAGCAGAGATGTCCTCTCTCTCTCTCCCCTGTTCTATCTCTCCTTCCCTCTCTCTCTGTGTGGTTGTGTGTCCACCCCCTACAGACTTAGTGGTGTCCCCGGCTTCCTCCAGTGTGGTTGTGTGTCCGTGTCCAGCCCCCTACAGACTTAGTGCTTCCTCCCTGGCTTCCTCCCTGGCTTCCTCCCTGGCTCCAGCCACTTCTAGGCTGCCCTGCACACACCGTCCCTTTCTATTTACGGCCCATTGGAAACCATTGATTCTAGTGACTCACTTTCCCTTTTGGTTGTAGTAAACACACTTTCTCTTTAACCTGATAAGACTGTGTACAAATTTACCACATTAGTAAAACATACAGGTTTTTCACCTTATCAGAGTTATTAAATTACATCGTCCATTGTCCCACCCTAAATTCCCACCTCTTCTCTCTTATGTGTCTTTTTAGGCCCAGGACCTGAATGCAATTCTTTTAACCTATATTTCACATACATTTTCCTATAAGTATGTAAAATGTCACCTACATTTCCTCTGCTATCTCTCTCTCTTCTCTAGGCCCAGGACCTGTATGTTTAATAGTTTATCTCTCTCTCTGTGTCTAGGCCCAGGACCTGTATGTTAATAGTTTCTCTCTCTCTCTCTTCTCTAGGCCCAGGACCTTAATGTGATCGAGGAGGTAATCAGGATGATGCTGGAGATCATCAACTCTTGTCTGTCTAACTCTCTACACCACAACCCTAACCTGGTCTACGCGCTGCTCTACAAGAGGGAGCTCTTCGAACAGTTCAGAACACACCCCTCCTTCCAGGACATCATGCAAAACCTTGACACGGTGAGACAGAGAGAGACACACCAACAAATGCAAGCACACACACACTCAAACATGGAATTCCAAAATCCTAATTGAAAACAATGGCCAATTCTGGATTGAAACTCCTCTACTGAATCTTAGCAAGCCTCTAAGCTTTCCAGTAGAAACCAGAATAGTTTTGTGAAAAAGCTTTCTAGCATTTCAAAGATTTGGGATTTACAATTAATAATATATTTTAATGGAGAGAGTTTCGCGCCTCAATTTCTGATGCAAAGATACGAAGAGGGTAGATCACTATTCAAGTGTCAGATGAGAAGATGCGCAGTACAACTCTGAATTGATGATTAAAAGAAGTCTACATCCTGTACCCTCATGGGGCTGATAGTAAAGTATTCATTAAGAGTATGATTATAGAAAGACGTACTATAGCTGGCATTCATCTTCTTTCCAACAAAGTGTCCAGAGACAGAAAAGAGAGTGAAGTCACGTCCCAAATTGCACCCTATTCCCTACATAGTGCACTACTTTCGACCAGAGCGCATTCAAAAGTAGTGCACTATGTAGGGAATAGGGTGCCCTTGGGGACGTACCCATAGCTAGCGTGTTAGATTCACTACTCCTCTCCCTGTGGCCCGGCCCTCCTGGCTCTCATACACACACACCAGCGTCTGTGTCTCGGCTGGCTCTGATGCCTGTGTACTGTAGCCTGCTAGAGATGTCTGGGACTCTGGTAGCCTGCTAGAGATGTCTGGGACTCTGGTAGCCTGCTAGAGATGTCTGGGACTCTGGTAGCCTGCTAGAGATGTCTGGGACTCTGGCAGCCTGCTAGAGATGTCTGGGCTACTGGCAGCCTGCTAGAGATGTCTGGGCTTCAGGCAGCCTGCTAGAGATGTCTGGAACTCTGGTAGCCTGCTAGAGATGTCTGGGACTCTGGTAGCCTGCTAGAGATGTCTGGGACTCTGGTAGCCTGCTAGAGATGTCTGGGTCTCTGGCAGCCTGCTAGAGATGTCTGGGACTCTGGTAGCCTGTTAGAGATGTCTGGGACTCTGGCAGCCTGCTAGAGATATCTGGGCTTCTGGCAGCCTGCTAGAGATGTCTGGGCTTCAGGCAGCCTGCTAGAGATGTCTGGAACTCTGGCAGCCTGTTAGACATGTCTGGGAATCAGGCAGCCTGCTAGAGATGTCTGGGACTCTGGCAGCCTGCTAGAGATGTCTGGGACTCTGGCAGCCTGCTAGAGATGTCTGGACCTCTGGCAGCCTCTTGGAGATGTCTGTCAGGGACTCTGGCAGCCTGCTAGAGATGTCTGGAACTCTGGCAGCCTCTTAGAGATGTCTGGGATTCTGGCAGCCTGTTAGAGATGTCTGGAACTCTGGCAGCCTGTTAGAGATGTCTGGGAATCAGGCAGCCTGCTAGAGATGTCTGGGACTCTGGCAGCCTGCTAGAGATGTCTGGGACTCTGGCAGCCTGCTAGAGATGTCTGGGTTGCTGGCAGCCTGCTAGAGATGTCTGTCTGGGACTCTGGCAGCCTGCTAGAGATGTCTGTCTGGGACTCTGGCAGCCTGTTAGACATGTCTGGGATTCTGGCAGCCTGCTAGAGATGTCTGGGACTCTGGCAGCCTGCTAGAGATGTCTGTCTGGGACTCTGGCAGCCTGTTAGAGATGTCTGGGATTCTGGCAGCCTCTTAGAGATGTCTGGGACTCTGGCAGCCTGCTAGAGATATCTGGGCTTCTGGCAGCCTGCTAGAGATGTCTGGGCTTCAGGCAGCCTGCTAGAGATGTCTGGAACTCTGGCAGCCTGTTAGAGATGTCTGGGAATCAGGCAGCCTGCTAGAGATGTCTGGGACTCTGGCAGCCTGCTAGAGATGTCTGGGACTCTGGCAGCCTGCTAGAGATGTCTGGGTTGCTGGCAGCCTGCTAGAGATGTCTGTCTGGGACTCTGGCAGCCTGCTAGAGATGTCTGTCTGGGACTCTGGCAGCCTGTTAGACATGTCTGGGATTCTGGCAGCCTGCTAGAGATGTCTGGGACTCTGGCAGCCTGCTAGAGATGTCTGTCTGGGACTCTGGCAGCCTGTTAGAGATGTCTGGGATTCTGGCAGCCTCTTAGAGATGTCTGGGACTCTGGCAGCCTGCTAGAGATGTCTGGGACTCTGGCAGCCTGCTAGAGATGTCTGGGTTGCTGGCAGCCTGCTAGAGATGTCTGTCTGGGACTCTGGCAGCCTGCTAGAGATGTCTGTCTGGGACTCTGGCAGCCTGTTAGAGATGTCTGTCTGGGACTCTGGCAGCCTGCTAGAGATGTCTGGGACTCTGGCAGCCTGCTAGAGATGTCTGTCTGGGACTCTGGCAGCCTGCTAGAGATGTCTGGGTTGCTGGCAGCCTGCTAGAGATGTCTGGGATCCTGGCAGCCTGCTAGAGATGTCTGGGATTCTGGCAGCCTGCTAGAGATGTCTGGGATTCTGGCAGCCTGCTAGAGATGTCTGTCTGGGACTCTGGCAGCCTGCTAGAGATGTCTGTCTGGGACTCTGGCAGCCTGCTAGAGATGTCTGTCTGTGATTCAGGCAGCCTGCTAGAGATGTCTGAGAGTCTGGCAGCCTGCTAGAGATGTCTGGGATTCTGGCAGCCTGCTAGAGATGTCTGGAACTCTGGTAGCCTGCTAGAGATGTCTGTCTGGGACTCTGGCAGCCTGTTAGAGATGTATGTCTGGCCCAACACTCTAACCGCTAGGCTACCTGCCGCCCTGATCTTATAGTCCATGTTGCTATGATACATTTATGTTGCTATGATACGTTTATCAGCTGTTAAATGTGAGAAACGCATCAGACAGAGAGATGGTCTATCAGTCAGAAAACATTACAGTCAGTCAAATCCTTAGTTCTTATTAAACAAGGACAGAGGATGTAATGATTTCCCCCCATCATTTAACTAGATGCTCTGTGGATACCCAACACAAAAGGTTTTATAATAGTTGGTGCGTAAAACCATTTAGTCCAGGTACACAGAAACCAGTTAGTCCAGGTACACAGAAAATACATGATCTGCACTCAAAATCCCCCCAAAATGTGACTATTGCGGACGGACCTACTGTATTTTTTTGTTGTTTTTTTGTAAGATTTTGTTAGTTTTACACTTAAGACATGACTCTGCCGTTGTGCTGTAGAATATGTGAATTTAGTACATTGTCTTTATCTGTAATTTCATTAGTTATGTTCCAACACTCCCTCTATCTTGTGCCAATATCAGTTCTTTTGAAGTCTTGGTTGCAATAGTTGATATATTTTTCTACTGGACCTAGTGTAAATAGACACTGTGCCAGCAGCTTTTGCGCTGCCTACACAGGTAGTTACAATCGCTACTGAAGTTACAGTACCTGCCAGTTACTCCCTATGTCATCATGTTAGGGACGTCTGTTGCAATGGGAGACCTGTGTGACGACCCAAAGCAGAGGATCAAATTAATGATGATCCAGATGATCCAAATAGAAGCTGAGATGAGACGATAGTTAAATCAGTTCATTATGTACAGAGACGAGACTCATCTAAGCGTAGATTCTCTTGACAGTCAATGGTGTCAAAGCAAAGCACTGCCTCAGTTTCATGAAAAACTACTCTTAAATGATTGACACCTTCTTTTAAAGTTGTTATAATAACCTAGATGAAAGTAAAGATTTCACACACAAATAAAAGTATTTTGACCTTTTAACTGACAGGTCCCTCAAGCGAACACACAAACACATCACATACATATATACAGACACGCACCCCTGTCTGACTTGTGGTGTTCTCCTCTTGTCCCCACAGGTGATAGGTTTCTTCAGCCAGCGTCTGGAGGCAGCAGGGACTGACCTGTCAGTAGAAAGGGTTCAGGAAGTCATCATGAAGGGAGCACAGGCTCTTCCCAAAGACCGCCTCAAGGTAAGAGACCAGACACACACACAGCAGTGGTAATTAACAATAGTGATTTGGATCCCATTGACCCAACTGGAGCATGTATTATTTCCAGTGTGGATGGTGTGTTCCCGAAACAGAGCCAATGGGATGGGGGCTAGGGATGGGATGGGATGTGGGCTAGGGATGGGATGGGATGGGGGCTAGGGATGGGATGGGGGCTAGGGATGGGATGGGATGGGGGCTAGGGATGGGATGGGATGTGGGCTAGGGATGGGATGGGGTCTAGGGATGGGATGGGATGTGGGCTAGGGATGGGATGGGATGGGGGCTAGGGATGGGATGTGGGCTAGGGATGGGATGGGATGGGGGCTAGGGATGGGATGGGATGTGGGCTAGGGATGGGATGGGATGTGGGCTAGGGATGGGATGGGGTCTAGGGATGGGATGGGATGTGGGCTAGGGATGGGATGGGATGTGGGCTAGGGATGGGATGGGGGCTAGGGATGGATGTGGGCTAGGGATTGGATGGGATGGGATGGGGGCTAGGGATGGGATGGGAGCTGGGGGGTGGGGGGCTGGGGATGGGATGGGAGCTGGGGGTGGGGGCTAGGGATGGGAGCTAGGGATGGGTTGGGAGCTGGGGGTGGGGGCTAGGGATGGGATGGGAGCTGGGGGTGGGGGCTGGGGATGGGATGGGAGCTGGGGGTGGGGGCTAGGGATGGGAGCTAGGGATGGGTTGGGAGCTGGGGGTGGGGGCTAGGGATGGGATGGGAGCTGGGGGGTGGGGGCTGGGGATGGGATGGGAGCTGGGGGTGGGGGCTAGGGATGGGTTGGGAGCTGGGGGTGGGGGGCTGGGCTAGGACGTTGAGAGCTGGGCTGAAACTGGGTATATGGGGAGTTGGAGATGAGGATGAGCTAAGACAAAGTCCAGCTCCAATCTTCATTAGCATTAATGTCTAGCTCCACGGCCATCCTTCCTGCCTGGTGAATATGCTGCTGCAGATAATGACATTTCAAGGAGACATGACAGCGCCGTCACTTTGTCTTCGTTTTATGTCCCAAATGGCACCCTATTCTATATTTAGTGCACTACTTTTGACCAGGGCCCATAGTAGTGCACTTTATAGAGAATAGGGTGCCATTTGGGACGCTGGATCTGGGAGAGGAATCAATTTGCCAGCAGCACCTCGTTACCTTGCGCTCCGTGCTGGGACGCCGCCTACCCACAATTCCCCAGCCCCACATGAATCAAGGAGGAAATATGTATCCGGGGACGTCGCTATGCATCGCCACGTCGTCCATTCTCAGCGCCCAGCCAGCCGCTTTTAATGTTTCATCATGTGTTCTATATGTTTCATGTTCCGCTGCGTGTCATTGGAACTGAAAGGCCTTTCAGGTTATGTCGATATAGGACTTGTTTTACTGTGGATATACAGTGGGGAAAAAAAGTATTTAGTCAGCCACCAATTGTGCAAGTTCTCCCACTTAAAAAGATGAGAGAGGCCTGTAATTTTCATCATAGGTACACGTCAACTATGACAGACAAAATGAGAGAAAAAAATCCTGAAAATCACATTGTAGGATTTTTAATGAATTTATTTGCAAATTATGGTGGAAAATAAGTATTTGGTCAATAACAAAAGTTTCTCAATACTTTGTTATATACCCTTTGTTGGCAATGACACAGGTCAAACGTTTTCTGTAAGTCTTCACAAGGTTTTCACACACTGTTGCTGGTATTTTGGCCCATTCCTCCATGCAGATCTCCTCTAGAGCAGTGATGTTTTGGGGCTGTCGCTGGGCAACACGGACTTTCAACTCCCTCCAAAGATTTTCTATGGGGTTGAGATCTGGAGACTGGCTAGGCCACTCCAGGACCTTGAAATGCTTCTTACGAAGCCACTCCTTCGTTGCCCGGGCGGTGTGTTTGGGATCATTGTCATGCTGAAAGACCCAGCCATGTTTCATCTTCAATGCCCTTGCTGATGGAAGGAGGTTTTCACTCAAAATCTCACGATACATGGCCCCATTCATTCTTTCCTTTACACGGATCAGTCATCCTGGTCCCTTTGCAGAAAAACAGCCCCAAAGCATGATGTTTCCACCCCCATGCTTCACAGTAGGTATGGTGTTCTTTGGATGCAACTCAGCATTCTTTGTCCTCCTAACACGACGAGTTGAGTTTTTACCAAAAAGTTATATTTTGGTTTCATCTGACCATATGACATTCTCCCAATCCTCTTCTGGATCATCCAAATGCACTCTAGCAAACTTCAGATGGGCCTGGACATGTACTGGCTTAAGCAGGGGGACACGTCTTGCACTGCAGGATTTGAGTCCCTGGCGGCGTAGTGTGTTACTGATGGTAGGCTTTGTTACTTTGGTCCCAGCTCTCTGCAGGTCATTCACTAGGTCCCCCCGTGTGGTTCTGGGATTTTTGCTCACCGTTCTTGTGATCATTTTGACCCCACGGGGTGAGATCTTGCGTGGAGCCCCAGATCGAGGGAGATTATCAGTGGTCTTGTATGTCTTCCATTTCCTAATAATTGCTCCCACAGTTGATTTCTTCAAACCAAGCTGCTTACCTATTGCAGATTCAGTCTTCCCAGCCTGGTGCAGGTCTACAATTTTGTTTCTAGTGTCCTTTGACAGCTCTTTGGTCTTGGCCATAGTGGAGTTTGGAGTGTGACTGTTTGAGGTTGTGGACAGGTGTCTTTTATACTGATAACAAGTTCAAACAGGTGCCATTAATACAGGTAACGAGTGGAGGACAGAGGAGCCTCTTAAAGAAGTTGTTACAGGTCTGTGAGAGCCAGAAATCTTGCTTGTTTGTAGGTGACCAAATACTTATTTTCCACCATAATTTGCAAATAAATTCATTAAAAATCCTACAATGTGAGTTTCTGGATTTTTTCTCTCTCAATTTGTCTGTCATAGTTGACGTGTACCTATGATGAAAATTACAGGCCTCTCTCATCTTTTTAAGTGGGAGAACTTGCACAATTGGTGGCTGACTAAATACTTTTTTTCCCCACTGTAGATACTTTTGTACCCGTTTCCTCCAGCATCTTCACAAGGTCCTTTGCTGTTGTTCTGGGATTGATTTGCACTTTTCGCACCAAAGTACGTTCATCTCTAGGAGACAGAACGCGTCTCCTTCCTGAGCGGTATGACGGCTGCATGGTCCCATGGTGTTTATACTTGCGTACTATTGTTTGTACAGATGAACGTGGTACCTTCAGGCGTTTGGAAATTGCTCCCAAGGATGAACCAGACTTGTGGAGGTCTACAATATTTTTTCTGAGGTCTTGGCTGATTTCTTTTGATTTACCCATGATGTCAAGCAAAGAGGCACTGAGTTTGAAGGCAGACGTTTCTTGTAGTTGGCCACCAGGTTTGCACACATCACAGGAGGGATTTTGTTCCACTCCTCTTTGCAGATCTTCTCCAAGTCATTAAGGTTTCGAGGCTGACGTTTGGCAACTCGAACCTTCAGCTCCCTCCACAGATTTTCTATGGGATTAAGGTCTGGAGACTGGCTAGGCAACTCCAGGACCTTAATGTGCTTCTTCTTGAGCCACTCCTTTGTTGCCTTGGCCGTGTGTTTTGGGGCATTGTCATGCTGGAATACCCATCCACGACCCATTTTCAATGCCCTGGCTGAGGGAAGGAGGTTCTCACCCAAGATTTGACGGTACATGGCCCCGTCCATCGTCCCTTTGATGCGGTGAAGTTGTCCTGTCCCCTTAGCAGAAAAACACCCCAAAAGCATAATGTTTCCACCTCCATGTTTGACGGTGGGGAGGGTGTTCTTGGGGACATAGGCAGTATTCCTCCTCCTCCAAACACGGCGAGTTGAGTTGATGCCAAAGAGCTCGATTTTGGTCTCATCTGTCCACAACACTTTCACCCAGTTGTCCTCTGAATCATTCAGATGTTCATTGGCAAACTTCAGACAGCCCTGTATATGTGCTTTCTTGAGCAGGGGGACCTTGCGGGCGCTGCAGGATTTCAGTCCTTCACGGTGTAGTGTGTGACCAATTGTTTTCTTGGTGACTATGGTCCCAGCTGCCTTGAGATCATTGACAAGATCCTCCCGTGTAGTTCTGGGCTGATTCCTCACCGTTCTCATGATCATTGCAACTCCACGAGGTGAGATCTTGCATGGAGCCCCAGGCCGAGGGAGATTGACAGTTATTTTGTGTTTCTTCCATTTGCGAATAATCGCACCAACTGTTGTCACCTTCTCACCAAGCTGCTTGGCGATGGTCTTGTAGCCCATTCCAGCCTTGTGTAGGTCTACAATCTTGTCCCTGACATCCTTGGAGAGCTCTTTGGTCTTGGCCATGGTGGAGAGTTTGGAATCTGATTGATTGATTGCTTCTGTGGACATATGTCTTTTATACAGGTAACAAGCTGAGATTAGGAGCACTCCCTTTAAGAGTGTGCTCCTAATCTCAGCTCGTTACCTGTATAAAAGACACTTGGGAGCCAGAAATCTTTCTGATTGAGAGGGGGTCAAATACTTATTTCGTTCATTAAAATGCAAATAAATGTATAACATTTTTGACATGCGTTTTTCTGGATTATTTTGTTATTCTGTCTCTCACTGTTCAAATAAACCTACCATTAAAATTATAGACTGATCATTTCTTTGTCAGTGGGCAAACATACAAAATCAGCAGCGGATCAAATACTTTTTTCCCTCACTGTATGTAAACTTCCGACTTCAACTGTATATATACAGTGTTGTAACAATGTGCAAATAGTTAAAGTACAAATGGGAAAATAAATAAATATAAATATGGGTTTTATTTACAATGGTGTTTGTTCTTCACTGGTTGCCGTTTTCTTCTGGCAACAGGTCACAAATCTTTCTGCTGTGATGGCACACTGTGGTATTTCACCCAGTAGATATGGGAGTTTATCAAAATTGGGTTTGTTTTCGAATTCTTTGTGGATTTGTGTAATCTGAGAGAAATATGTGTCTCTAATATGGTCATACATTTGGCAGGAGGTTAGGAATTGCAGCTCAGTTTCCACCTCATTTTGTGGGCAGTGTGCTCATAGCCTGTCTTCTCTTGAGAGCCAGGTCTGCCTATGGCGGCCTTTCTCAATAGCAAGGCTATGCTCACTGAATCTGTACATAGTCAAAGCT